AATTAAGAATTCATTTTTGTTTGCTTAGTTTTGTATGCCATGTTATAGAGGTGTTTCACTTGGCATGCCACTAATTCACCCCGTATTTCCAAAAGAAGTTTAATTCTTCTTTCCTTACATTCACACACATCAGGGGCTCTCTCCTTTCTAGAACCCTCTGTCTTTTGGTCTAATGTGGTTGGGTCGTGCTCCAGCCTACTGCACACTGTCATAGTGTGACATTCCTTCATTTTCCTTCTTAGGATATCCCTTGATCTCTCTCCCATGTGGAACTTGTCTTTGTTTCCTTGTTTTGGGTCCTTTCTCTAGTTTACTCCTTTGTTTTGGTGGAGTGCATCCTCAACATCTTGAGAAAGGGTGCCTGGAATATAAATATTTGAGATCATGCATGTGTACAAATGTCTTCATTCTCTCTTCAAACCTTGAGGGATAGTCGAGCTGGGTACAGAATATTAGCCAGAAAATCCTCTTCCCTCAAAAGAACGCCTCTGTCTTGAAGACTGGAGAGAGCCTTTGGGCTTTGGGAAAATCTCAGGTAGGGTGTCCTGACAGGAGGCGGTTGACCTGGCCTAGATAGGAGTGTGGTGGTGAGAGGGGAAGGCAAAGAGACAAGTGCAGGCTGGCTAAGCCTAGCCAAGACAGGACTTTGTCCTGAAAGCAATGAGAGCTGTTCAGTGTTTCTGACAGAGGATGAGGTGACCAAAGTCTCACTAGTGGAGGAGGGTCTTAATTGACCTCCAGGCCCCAGTGGGGGAGGAGGGAGACACTAAAAGGTGTGGCCCAAGGCTAACCTTTTCAGGGGATTAGGGCTCACCCTCTGTGTAGTAAGACAGAAAGGTGCAGATGTATTTGTGCTGGAGGTTTCACCTCAGCCCATCTCTTGTCCCACTGAAGAAACTAAGGCCACTCATCACCTCTTTATTCCTATGGTCCCCTGTGAACATTCATGACCAACCTATCTGGCCTGCCCCACTCCTGTCCCTACAGCATCTGGCTCCATTGACCTCTTTGAAGCTTTCTTTTCTTAACAGGATCTAAGAGTCTTGGCTAGGGTGAAAGTTCTCAGGGGGATTTTAGGGATCTCCTCCCTCTGGGCCATGCTGTGTTGGTCTTCTGGTGACATCCACCCTGTTCATGCCCCCTCCCTGCAGACCCATCTCTAAGGCCTATCACAGAGGGAGGTGGGTCTCTGGGGATAGGACCACCCTTGTGCCCTGGTTCTCCCTACTGGAGCCTCATGGCCCAAGCCTCAGAGTGGACTCACTCTGCCTCTTTAGATTCCTCTGCAGTAGCCAACTCCTACCCTATGGATGAAGTCCTTTGCAGGGGTCAGGCCTTGGGAATTCAGCCTTATTCAGGAGCTAGGTCCTGAATTTTGGGTGCAGAGCCATCACCAGTCTCAGTGCTGGCCAAAGGCAAATAGCAGGTGGATTGGCAACTAATATCTGGCTGTAGGTGGACAGAGCCCAGCAGCAAGAGCCCCAGGGCGAGTACAGGTGGCAGGAGCAAAGAGTCCAGGACGCTGAGGCCTTTGGAGCTGATCCAAAGTAAACTCCTTTTACAGATAGGAAAGCTGAGGTGCAGAGAGGTGCAATGAGGGCCTCTCAAGCCGCACAGTGAGTTAGTGGCCTCTACAGAGTTCTCTTTCCACTGACTGCACCAAGGAGTTAGTCTCAGTCTCTCTCTTTGTCTCTTTGTGTCTCTCTCCCACCTACACACGCACACACACACACACACACACCCTGGTTTGTCTGGCACATCCACACTTCCAATATGTACATATTGGCAAAGATTCCCTCGCACAGGTTTCTGCATCTGTGTCCTAGACACTAGGACATGTTCGGCGGGCAGGTGCTCGTGAGCCTGTGTGTGCTGGGGAAGAGGGTGGGAACCTGCAGAATCCCAGAAGGAGTCCTCATGTTAGTGAGGAAAATCAAGACCCAGAGCCGGTCACAAAGCCAGTTACCCATCAGCGCAGTTTCCACGTTTCCACCTCTCCATGAATAATTAGAGAAAGCTAAACAAACAAAATTTAATTGCCTGTCGATGACAGAATGCCAGGGGGACCATAAAACCGCCTGGTCTCAGAGTGCCTGCCAGGGCAGGTGGCATGGGCAGGCCAAGCTGACGGACTTGCCCCTGCCTGTTGGCTGGGCCTCCCGGGCCTCTCTGCGGCTGGGGAACTGGACCCCCTGTGCCCACCAACAGCCAAGAAGCTCCTCACTTGCCAAACAGGGTGCCCAGTGCCAGAGCAAACTGGACCTAAGCCCAGCACACTTTCCAGAAATAGGTTCCTGAGAGAGCCCGAGACTCCCCCTTTCTCTGCTGACCTTGCCCCCTGCAAGGAGTCCTATTTGTTGCCTCAGACCCTGGAAACACTCTGTTGAAGGTCCATAAACACTGCTAGAATGTTCCGTGTGTGGGGCTGGGGCCCTAATTTACAACCTACCCACTCCATGCTCTTCCTGCTGCCCCTGGATGGGGTGGGCCCTCGCCCTCCCGTGTGGTGAGGAGCGGGGAGCTGGGGCTCTCGCAGCCTGTCCTCCGGAACCAGCCTGTTCCCCATAAGACACAGCTGCTCAGGACGGTTCATGGGCCTCTGCTCAGAGGGCAGGCACCCCCACCCTACTGCCCTGCTGCCCACCCTGTCAGTATTAGCACAGAGTCACCAAGGGGCTCCTGGGCAGCCCCGCGCCTCCAGGTGGATGAGGGGATGGTTGTGTGGTCGTGGGATGGATGGATGGGGTGTAGGATGGGTGGGTGGATAAATGGGACCCTGTTTGTTTTGATCTCTGTCTTTCCCATTACAGGCTTTTTTCAGAGGCCCAGGAATTCTGAAATACTGGGCTGTCTGTAAGAAGGAGGCACTAAAGCCTCTCGGGCTCTTTCCCTGTGGTTTGGCCTTGTTGATGGGCGAGGGGCAGGGGGGCTTTGGGAACCCAGCTATTTCACCAGGGGGCCTCCCCCAATGTCAGACTGGCCTGTGGGCCTTTCTCCTCAGGTGGGGAGTCCTGGGGAGGACTCTGCCCTCTCCCACCTGGGGCTGCCCCAGCCTGAGCCGGGAGCCTGGAGGGCCTGAGCCCCTGTGTTTCGAGGAGGCTGGGCCTCAGCCACCAGCTGCGTTTCACTTACTGGCAGCACTCCTCTCTGCGGGTTCTCCCCTGCCCTTCCCTTTGCTCTGTGGTTTACCCCTTTCCATTTCTTTACCACCCCTTTCCCGGGAGAAACTAGAGGGAACCAAGTGTGTACAACCCCCACCCCCATTCAACCAAAAACCAGTTCCTCTCTCGCTGGTCTTTGTGAAGTCCTGCCCCGACCCAAGTCAGACAACTGTATACATTCTTCTAGTTGTTTTAAAGTTTCAGTGTTTATCCCTCAGCCTTTAATCTGTTTTATGTACTGAGGTTACTAACAAGGTTTATTGGGGAGAAAAGTTCTGTTCCTAAAAAATGCCTATAAAGCCCCAGCTGGGCCCAACCCAGGGGAACAGGGAGGGAGATAAGGGTGCACTGGGCCTCTGCCCCCCACATAGTAGGCCTTATAAACCCAGGTAGGGCTGGCGAGCAGAAAGCAGTTGATGTCCACTCCCTGGCCTCCCTGAGGCTGATACTCCTGGCAAGGACACAGCCTGAACCACCTATCCCCATGGCCCAGAGACCCAGAGACCCCCTGGTCATCCCCCCCAACCCCCACCTCTCACAGAGCAATCACCATTTTAGAATAGGGACATTAGCAAGGTGATTTGCATTCAGTGACAGTGATGGGGACCTTTCCAAGGACAGGCTGGTGTGGCCCCGTGGATCCTGCAGGCCTTACTGCAGCCAAGGGGCCTCCACACACCAAGTGAGACTATTGAGTTACCCAGTCTCTCGTGTGTCTGTGTCTGTTTAACCAGAATGGGTTCCTGTAGGGTCAAGCTTTGAACTGAGTGAAGAATTCAGGTGTCCCCTGACTTCCAGAGCAATAAAAGCTCTTTAGAACAGCTTTGAACCATCTATTTCCTCATTAAAGAGCTCTGGCTCTCTGGGAAGACAGACATAAACAGATAATTACTGCCCAGAGAGATGTGCGCTGGGATTAACTGTTACTGGTCTCTTAATTGGCCTTCCAGGTTCCATTCGCTCCCACTCCTATCACTGTGCACTTTGCTGCCAGAGTGAACTTTTAAAAATGCAAACTGCCCTTGACTTTGACCTCCTCCCAGCAGTTGCCCGGTGGCCTCAGGAGTCCTTCTGCCAGGCCCTCTGTGTTAAGGCCCCCACACCAGCATCGGTAGCCCCCAGAGGCGCTGTGATTTGGCCAGGCTGCTGGCAGACCCCCATCCTGCTCCCCTCCAGGCCTCAGCACTTGTTCTTCCCGCTGCTGAACCTGGCCTTTCCCCTCTTCCTCACCTGGCCAATCACTGTATATCCCTCAGGCCTCACTTTTGATGCCACTGACTCCAGGATGCCCTCCCTAACCCCACACCCTGCACACACCCAGACTGGCAGAGGCATTCCCCATGATGCTGTCTTGCATGTTCTGTTCTTTCAACTTTGGCATAGGCCTTACCAGCTGTGTCTTTGAGACTATAGTTCTCAAAGTCAGGGAGCACATTTCATTTACTGTCCATTCATCAACTACCAGATATTTTTGAGTCCTTACTTTGTGTGAGGTCTGAGATTCGTGGGAAAACAAAATAAACCAAGACCCCTGACCTCATGAAGCTTCCAGGCTGACAAGACATCCAGGTGCTGGCCCAGCGCTGGCTCAGACACTTCACTGAATTAACAGAGCCCCTACTATGTGCTGTGGATACTCAGAAAGGAGGCTCAGAGGTCAGGCAGGCTGCGTGGAGGAGGGGATGCTTAGGATGAGGCCCTGATAGATGGGTAGGAGTTTTCTAGGCATATCAATCAAAGATCTCCCTGCCTGCTTATCCAGAGGTTGTCCTGGTGGCTGGGCTGCTCTCTCCCCAGGATCTACACTCCACTCTCACCTGGGCTTCTTTTTTCTTTCAGAATGCATGAACTGTACTCGGCTCAGCGACATGAGTGAGCGACTGATTACGCTGGAAGCCAAGGTCAGAGAGACTGGGGAAACTGAGTCAGGAGAGCTGGCTGTGGGGAGGGTGCATCAGGCATCTGCGGGGTATGGCTGGGGAAGCCCTAACCTCAGGGAGCCCAGCAGGCCTGAGCAGCCTGGTCCCAGGGTTTGGTCCCAGCACTAGCCATTCCTGGGCCTGTCTACATCAGGGGGAGGAGCAGCTCACCCCAGAGGCAGAAGGACTTGATAAAGGTAAGTATTTATTTGGGAATGGCCCCAGGTGGTATTGGGGGAAGAGAGAGGAAGTAAGCCAGGGAAGGGTTGAATGTGTAAGGTGCAGGTGTGTTGCGGGGCAGTGAGGGCCCCTGGGGAGACAGTGCAGAGTTTGCTGCAGAGGGGGCCTCGAGGTCCCAGGGTGCTCCCATCCCTCTTTGGGCGAGGCATCTGCTGGGTGGTGTTCCCTGCAACTTTTGCCTGCCCCCAAGCTCACTCATGGCCAGAGAAAGCCCTTGGCAGGAATAGGTAGGGAGCAGGCAAAGCAGTGAGGGACATGGGCTATGCTCTCTTCTCCTTAGTACTCCAGAGGTCTGAGAGGCGCTGGGCTTGGGGAAGATAGACCCCTTGGGGCCGCAAAACTGCAAGGGGAAAGGTTGCCTGGCCCCATGGCAGAGTCGGCACCGGGAGGCTGGATTTACCTGAGCCTGAGGCAGAGCTCCCAGCTGGGGCAGGTGGTTTGGCCCAGGGGAGACTGTCTTAACCACAGAAGGTGGCGTGGTAACAGCCAGCTACCGGGGAGGCCAGAGTGAGGAGAGCACTGAGGTGGGCTGAGGGACCCCCAACGCAAGATCCCTGAGAGCAGGTCCGGAGGTCAGGCCTCAAGCCCAGGAGAGTCTGACTGGCAGGTCCCCCCTGCAGACACACACACACACACACACACACACACACACACACACACACAAATGGATAACACATAGAGACCAGGTACACATGGACATAAATACAGATACACACACATGAACACACATACATACACACAGAGAGACACATAAAGATACACATGAACACACAGACACACAGAGACACAACATACACATACCATATATACACACAGGGACACGTACAGATACGGCACACATAGACACATAGACACACCTACACATACACAGCCCTTGCCAAGCCTACATTGCCTTTGGCCCTGCCCCTGCCTTGAAAGCTTGACCGTGAGTGCACCTGCCCAGTCGGGTGGGAGCTGCAGGTGACTGTCAAGGGGAGTGAGACATACGTGGGACCACCACCCACCAGCTGGGTGACTTTAGTCAGCTCCCACCTCCTCATCTGTGGATGGATGAAAATACCAGCTTCCCAGGGTGCTGGAGCCTCAGGTGATTCACTGGTGGGACCCGGCTTTGGAAATGGGTGCTGGATAGGCGTGAGGGTCCATGTTATCATCTCCACTTCTCTGTTCCCGCTGTACAGATGAAGACACAGGTGCCCGGGAGACATTCGTGTGGAGCACAGGACATTAAAGCCCAGGGCATGAATGGCCTCTCTGTCCTCGACCCCTTCTGGGGGAGGGAGTTTCCTCCAGCAGCCCAGGCTCCTGGTCACAGGCCTGGGTGGGGACCCTGTGCTTTCCTGGGGGTCAGTGGCTTTGGGGGGCTGGAGATGGAAGGCTTCAGGGAGCAGATGTTGCTACGTGGGTCAAGCCGGGGATAGGGCAGCCCTGAAGGGGTCGGGTCCTGGGGAAGATGCTGGGGTAAACTTCTGGCACCCAAGATTTTAGAAAAGGCAGGGTCCCTGGGCCAGCTGCCTGACGGACTTTTTCCAGGCACCTGAAGCCTCCGCGTGGTTTGGCAGAGCATCGGCCCACAGCCTGCCCTGGCTCCAGCCCAGCACCTCGGGGTGTTAAAAGTCACAGCTCAGGGGGAAGACTGGTACAGTGCCAGCTGTCCCCACCCACCTGGCCCTCACCCATGCCCTCCTGCCATGAGCAATTCCTTCCCATGTCCCCCCAGTCCTGAACCTCCCTCCATCTCGGCCCCAGCAGCATGGCCTCGGGCAGCAGGCTGGTGGCCAGGCTTGCTCTCTGGCCCTGAGCATCCTGACCCGTCTGCAGACTTTGGGGGATGGAGGAGACAGCTGGATGTGTAGGAGGAACCAGGGCTAGGGCTCCTGTCCTAGCAGTAGCCTTGCCTTGGCACGTCCCTTCTCAACTCTGGGCCTCATTCTGCTGCCCGGTAAAATAGAAGTTGAAGGAGTCACTCCCCTGCTTCTCACTGGGACATTCTGAGGCAGGGGGAAGCTCAGTGGGGAGTGAGGGGAGGTAGCTTGGGTCTGGGTTATGCAAAGAGGTGGCTGCACCAACTTGCTTGTAGGGAGCCCGGCTCAGCAGCCCACTTTCTTCTGGATTCCCAGGTAAGGGCTGGAAAGCTCCTGTCTCAGCTCCCGTGCCTTCTAGCTGCCCACCTGCCTGTTCCATGCCTAAGCATCTCCTAGAGAAATAAGGCCACTAGGAATTTTGTTGGTCTGGGTCAGAGAGCCTTGAGAGGTAGTGGCCTGGAGAAGGAGAGGGACACAATTTAGGCAAGTTTTTTGGACAGCCCTGCAGCTCCAAGGGCTGTACCAAGGTCAGATGAGCCTGCAGGGGTCAGAGAACATGGAGCTGGGGTGAGCCAGGCCAGAGGCTGGGGTCTGGTGGCTGATGGCAGACAGCAGAGCCAAGCGGCGAGACCCCTGACGGGATTCAAATCAAGCAGCTGACATAAGAGAGCAGCAACCTAAGAGCCTGAAAGCTGAGATTTCTGCTCCCTCAGACAAGAAACCTGTTTTAGTGTGTCAGGAGGGATGCATTCAGGTACAAGTAACAGCAACCTAATGGCAGCATATTCCTTGAGGACATTTATTGTTTGTTCAACAAAATGTCCAGAAGTAGGAGTCCTGGGATTGGTTTTGTGGCTCAAGAACCCAGGCTCTTGACAGTTTCCCGCTTTATCTCTTTAGTGAATTATCTTTCCTTCTCATGGTCCATGCCTCATGGTTACAAAGTGGCTACTGCAGCTCAAGGCATCACATCCTAACACTATGTTCAAAAGCAGAAAGTAACTCCAACAAACTCATTTCTCGTTGGCCAGCACTGGGCTATATGCTCACCTCCTAGTTGCAAGGGAGCTGGGAAAATGATTACCTGGCCAATCATGATTCTTTCTCTGGGGCCCAATAGGGGGTTCTGGAGCAAGGGAAGAAGGGGTGGTGGGGTCCAGACAGCTATCAGAGTCAGCTCCATCTTCACTGCCTGTAGGGGCAGAAGGCCAGCAGGAAAAAGCTTTTTTCCTTCCTTCCTCTCCTCCCCCTCAGTTTACACTCTGACATCATGGACCACAAGGAGTGGGAGGGAGCCCAAAGGGAATTCCCTGCGTGAGGGTCATAGAAGCCTTGGAGTTCTGCTGGTGTCTGGTGCCAATCAGCCAGACCACAATGATGTCATTAGGGCCACTGCCCTGGAAGTCCATGGTCTGGTTTTCTTGGGCCGAGTCCCCACACCCACTGCCGCCTGCCTTGGTGATCTCATGCCCGGCAGGGGTGGGATCAGTTTCTCCAGAAGGTTGGCCACAACCAGGCCAGGAGGGCTTGGACTCTGGCCAGGGCTGATGCTAACTTGGCCGTGGTCAGTGCTCCTCTGCCTGGGTCTGTGGGCTCTGTGGGCCTTGTGTGTGGGGGGAAGGTACCCCAGGCAGAAGTGGGCCAGGCCTTTTGTGTGGGGACAAAGCTGCATGAGGCAGGTCCCCTCAGGGGTGTCCAGAGCCTGGCCATGGAAGAACACAGGGTTTGCCCCCAGGAGCCCAAGTCAGGCACCCCTCCTTTAATACCTCCAAGCTGCCCCTACCCCCACTGCTCCTGCCTACTCCCTGTTAAATATGTCCATATGGAGGTCCCTCCCAGACACTGAACCCACCCCCACAGAGGTCATCTTCACCTCCAATCTTACCCTCTCCCATGCCCTTGTTTGACTGGTGGCAATCCCACTGTCCCCAGAGCCAGGCCAAAATTGGGAGAGCCACTCCCACCTTCATCCACCCCTAACCCAAGACCAGGGCACCAGGTCCTGCCAGTTCTCCTCACCCCCATCCTCACATCCACTGTCCTGGGCCCCCCTATCTCCTGCTACTGACAGCCAGCTTTCCTCACTCCCCAGCCCCTCCACTGCCCCAGAGCCCCTGACTGTGACTGTCTAGCCAGCTTCCAGTGAAAACTGTGCAATTGAGGAAGGAATCTTACCCTCTTCTCCTCATGGGGTTTCCGGGATCAGGAGACAAGGTTCCACCTCGAAGCTGCTGTGTGACCTGAGCCAGCTGGTCCCCTTTTCCTGGCCTTCCTGAAGCTCTGCTAAAGCTGAGGCTGTGGGCCCAGATGTGAAGAGGCGAACGAGGCATCACATGGGGCCCTGGCCCTACTGTCTGCTTCTTGAGTGACCTTGGGCAAGACACTTGTGGTCTCTGAACTTCTATTTCCACCTTGCCTGTGATGTGGCCACAGTGACCCTTCCTGTCTCATGGTGTCTTGTGAGGATCAGATAGGGAAGGGGCTCAAAGAAGTCACTGGAGCCTCACAGGGCAGGAGCCCAGCTACCCAACACAGATGAGACACTTGGTTCCCAAGGATCCTCAGAGACTGTCACCCAGGCCCAGGAACACTGCAGAACTGGTGGGGTTGCGGGTGCCTAGAAGGACCCTTTGCCACATACCTGGGAAACGTCAGCCCAGGCCAGGCCTGAGCTCTGTGAAGGTAGCTTGTTATCATCCCCATTTTGCTGATGGAAAAACTGAGGCTTACAGAGGTCATGATGCTTGCACAAGGTTACACAGCGGCCACATAGGAAAGCCAGAATTCAAACTAGCTGCAGGTGGCACTTAACCTGTGCTCCCGCTCGCTCTAGCCAGCCGTTGGCACAAAGTGAGTGTACAGGGGCGGAACGGAGGGCCCCCCTCTGCCCAGAGGGTGAGACAGACTGTAGGGAGGAGGAGGTGGCTCACTGGAGTCTCAGGATCTTCCTCAGGAGGGAAGGGCAGGGCTGGCAGAGGACCATGAAGGAGCAAGGGGCTGGAGGTAGGGCCTCTTGGGTCAGGAGGGGGCCTAGGGGTCATTTAGGGTGGTTAGAAAGGAGCAGAGTGGAGGAGCCAAAGGTGAGGCCCAGGAGAGGCAGATGGGCACCTGTATGGGAACACTGGTGGTTTGGACGGGTACTGGATAGGGTTCATTTGGCATGAGGTCTTCATCTCACTGCTGTGTGTGTGGTGGGGGGAGCTCCCGGAGGTGAAGGGGGCAAATGGAGGTAGGGAAGGCAAGAGGCTGCTGTGGAGCCTGGGGCCACAGGCCAGGGGAGACATGTGACTGCAGGCAGAGGGGCACTGGGGTGGGGCCTGGGAAAGGCCAAATGCACAGGTCCTGACCCTCCTGGAAGTGGGGAGGTGGAGTCCTAGGGAGTGAGTGCAGGATGGGACAGGGTGGGGGTTTATGCCTGGGAGCTGGGGTACGGATGCTTTTGGGTGACAGTGCCTGTGGAATCAGTGATCATGATGACAGCAGGCCCCCCAGACAGGCCCACCCTTACCACCCTCTGCCCCATCCCCAGACCCCCTTAATCATGGGGAAAGTAAGGGGTTAGTACTCTAGCAGGATTCAGGGCTCTGGATCCCAAGAGCTATAGTGAATCTGAAACACCAGACTTCTTCCTCCCCATTGGTCAGATGGGACAATGGGACCAGGGACACACCACTGGGTATGAGCAGGAAGCCAGACTCCATTTAATACAGCTGAGGGACCCCAGTGCCCTCTCCTGCCACACTACCTGGGTGGGCCTACCTAGGTTCTGGTACCTGCTGGTCTGCCCTGCCCTGATCCTGGGCACACAGCGCCCCCTGCTGGCCTCTTCAGAGGCAGCGGGGTTTTGCTGGGACCAAGAGACCTGGCTCCCAGCTCAAGGGAATTAGGGAGAGTTTCCTTGCCCAGGCCCTGGGACTTTGTAGTCTTTGGCCACTGACTCCCTCAAGGGGAGAAGACAGGCTGCTTTCCAGGCTGCCCCTGAGTGATCACAGCCTCCTTTTGTTTTCCCAGAGCTCCTACTAAAATTCATGTACCACACTAGGCCCCTCCCTCC